AACCTCATGTTAGCATGTAACCTCATGTTAGCATGTAACCTCATGTTAATACACATTTAATCTACAGACGGAACATAACAAATAATTACTAGATGTAGTTCTGCAGGGTCCCCAAAAGTGTTCTGTTTCAAGAGTAAATAAAATCAAAATTAAAAGTAACAAATATTTTTATTTCTTGCTTTTGAAGTTCATATTTCGTTCTCTGCTGTAGCCTACAGAGTGCATAGATCTTCTTGTACAGTGGTTAAAACAGGTGACCCCTCGAGGTGGACTTCAGACCCCTTTTGGGAAAGTTATTAACAATTTACAGGCTTTACGTATGTTATATAAAAGTTTTTAACACACACACATGTTTCTATACATTTCAAAGTATAAATTTACTAAAAAATTACACATGAAAATTTACAAAAAAAACATCAAATACACAAATAATTTTACAACTTTGTTTTTGAATAAATACTTATATATATTCCAATTTTTTTGTTTAAATTAGTACTGCCAATCATAAGAGCAGCCGTAAACAATTGGCTCCTGTTTCTGAGCAAAATTGAACATTTTTTTCCAAAATCTAAGGTCAACTCTTGTTTCATGTAACTCTCTTTATGTAACCCTGCGAGCCTCCCAAAATACCCAAGCAATCACTAGGGGGCTCAGTACATATATTTGATCAATCACTAGGGGGCTCAGTACATATATTTGATCAATCACTAGGGGCTCAGTACATATATTTGATAAAATCTACATGTAGACACTTATTTTAATAGATGTCTTAAATATTCATGTCAATATCTACACAAGTTTGCGGGTCAAGGCTTGAAGAGCTCCCCCCCAAACCATTTATATATGGAAAGAGTTAAAACATCAAGTATCTAAAAAAACACACATATATATACATAAGGTAGGTACAATAGGGAACTATTAAATAGGTAAATAGAAAGATAAGCTTCAAAATAATAATGTAAAGTACTTGTTGAAACTGTGAAGTTACTCTTTTCAATTAATGTAAAGTACTTGTTGAAACTGTGAAGTTACGCTTTTCAAGTAATGTAAAGTACTTGTTGAAACTGTGAAGTTACGCTTTTCAATTAATGTAAAGTACTTGTTGAAACTGTGAAGTTACGCTTTTCAATTAATGTAAAGTACTTGTTGAAACTGTGAAGTTACTCTTTTCAATTAATGTAAAGTACTTGTTGAAACTGTGAAGTTACTCTTTTCAATTAATGTAAAGTACTTGTTGAAACTGTGAAGTTATGATTTTCAATAGTTTTTGTCACACTGTTATATCCAAACATACATCGCGTAAAGAGAAAAAGCAAAAATTGACAAAACTTTAAAAAAATGTTTACTATCAACTCTTGTTGAGATAAATTATAGTAAGACAACGTGCAGAGAGCATGATTTTGATAAAGTGTCCAAGTAAATTAATTATTGAAGAGATGCACAATGTAGAAAAAAAAAAACTCCCACTTAAAAGTTTTTGAAACATCTGAACCCATATAACAAGATTTATAATGTAATGCTTAAAACAACAACAACAATCGTCTGCTATAATAATATATCACCTGGTGAGTTGAGGATGGTCGAGGCATAACAAGAGCATTGGTACCATCAGTCGGATGCCGTGGATTAAGTTTAGAAGAGCTGATTAGTGGAATCAATGTTTGAGTTCCTGGTTTAGATGGTCTGACAAAGGGTTTTTTGATAGCTGCATGGAACGGCAATGATCATGTACATAGTCTTACTTAGTAACATAACTGCTTACAAAAATAACATTTTATTAAACTAATCAAAAATATTTCAGCTTTATCACGGAAGCAAATTTGGATGAGAAACAGTAAGATTCTAGCAACACTGAAACATTGTTTAAGTAGATATTTCAATAGTCAATCTATTAAGTAACATAACTGCTTACAAAAATAACATTTTATTAAACTAATCAAAAAGATTTCAGCTTTATCATGGAAGCAAATTTGGATGAGAGACAGTAAGATTCTAGCAACACTGAAACATTGTTTAGGTAGATATTTCAATAGTCAATCTATTAAGTAACACCTGGTTCAACTACATAAAATTGGGTCCCTTGGAAGCATGTGGAAGGATTTGTGATATACTCTTTGATACTAAATGCTGCATATCCTTGTATTCTGTATTAGTGATTGAAAAATAAATATTGATGCAGTGTCGAAGTTAATATTTTCTAATACTGAAAATGTATTTCTGATAAGTACTTACCTCTTCTAACCATAGCTATCTCAATATTCATTTGCCCTCTAGGCATTGGTAAACTTTTTAAAAAGCGCACCAGTCTTTTATACCCCTATATTTTTTACATCATTGCAGCAACATGTGCTTATCATGTGACTACCCTCCACCAATCCCATTGCACCCTCTACCTGCACTAGTATAGAGGGTGCAATGGGATTGGTGGAGCGTGGTCACATGATCAGCACATGTTGCTGGAATGACGCAAACAATATAGGGGTATGAAAAACTGGTGCGCTTTTTAAAAAGTTTACCAATGATTCCATTACGGAAGTAACATAATCCATAAATATTTAATTATATAACTTCTCTATACATTATCTTATTAAAGTATTGACATTAGCAGTGTGGGAAAAACTACTGTTAGACTCAAAGAAAGGAACGTACAGTTTATTATATCTTAGCTGATAAAACTGAATAATCTCTGGCCTGGCTGGCACTGAAGGACGAGTTGAGTTCACTGTCTTATTAAATGAAATATACTAATAGCACCTAAATAAAAAATAGTATTTGTCTGTACTTGTATAACTTACATGTTGTGTTTCTTTATTTTTTTAAATTCTCATTTAAAATACATTCTGTTTTAAAGATTTCTCTATTGAATATTTTTATTTAGATAAGTAAAACTGTCTAATGACTATCAAGTAAAATCTAGAAAGAAACTGGAGAGATGCATGAATCTTGTTGTTAAACATCAGTGAACACACCTTAATAACGGATAACAGGTAGAATACAAAATAATTATAGTCAACTATTGGTCTTAAAAGAAGTCTCTGTGGTGGCTGAAAACCTGGTCCTTTCCATTTCCACCTAATCTGGTTATCTCAAATTCCCTGACTAAGTTCTGCAACCGTTCCTCAACCGAAGAATTCTATTGAGGTTTGAGGAACTCCCAAGGTGTTAAACACTGTAATACTCAATATTAATATCATAGTAATTAAAAAACATGTTAGCAACGATGAGCAGTTGCTACAGTTGTGCAACCTAGTATAATTTGGAAAAACATGCACACCTTAGGGCCTGTTACACAGATATTCAAAATATTTTACCCAGTTGCATACATTTCATTGTACGTATTGCTCAGTTACACAACTGACCTTGTAATCACCCTGTATATGAAGTTCATAAGTGACCCTTTTATAACTTGTCAAATGAATACTTAATAAGTCAACTATAAATACTATTAAAAAGTAGAGTCAAAGCATACAGACAAAACAAAAACATGTTGTTGAAAACAGGGTCAGCAATTTCTTTTTATATGTTTATCAACATATTTAATTACTTAAGACTAAAATGTGTCCTTATCAAAAGTAATACTATGATCTCATTTTCTTAAAATAAGACCCAAAACTCGAGCACTTTCGAATAGTTGACTATTCTTGTTCTCCTGAAGAAGAACAGTCAACTATTTGAAAGGCGCTCGAGTTTTGGGTCTTATTTTAAGTCTATTACATTTTATATGTGATCCTTTGTGCTAACTCTTTTATCAAAAATGATCTCATTTTCTGTAGTCAAGAAACTAAAAAGGAACAGCATGATCATGATATACATACTTGGCAACTCTACAGGTGTTGATGAACTGAGAATCTGAAAACATTTTCCATTAATGTAGTCTTCTTCTGGTAATGGATTCTGAATCTAAGGGAAAAGCGAGGAATCCAAACTTTTATTTTGAACCATCATTAAGCTTTACCCGATAAAATTTACTAAATAGTTGAAAAAAACTGATTCAAAGTAGACACAAAGCTAAAATTGTTAGAATTAATAATGAATTCATACAGACCAATCAACTTTTAAAACAGAGTTTTTAATAAAATTCAAGTCATTCAAAAAACATCAATACTGTAATTAATATAACTAGTTAGTACTGGGGTCTCCTATGTAACATAATCAGTTATATGGCCTACTTTTCAGTCAGTTCTTCACACTGAGTGTTGTATCAAACAAAACCATAAAGTTACTTAATATCATGTAACTGGTGCACCCAGTTGGTAGTGAATGGTGTAACAACAAGTCAGTAATGTGCAGATTAGAGGAGGATAGAAGATATATACTGAACTACACTGATGACAACCCAGACATACTATAGTTCATGTACAAAATTATACTGATGACAACCCTGACATACTATAGTTCATGTACTAAATTATACTGATGACAACTCAGACATACTATAGTTCATGTACTAAATTATACTGATGACAACCCAGACATACTACAGTTCATGTACTAAATTATACTGATGACAACCCAGACATACTATAGTTCATGTACTAAACTACAATGATCATAACCCAGACATACTACGCTTCACGTACTAAATTATACTGATGACAACCCAGACATACTATAGTTCATGTACTAAATTACACTGATGACAACTCAGACATACTATAGTTCATGTACTAAATTATACTGATGACAACCCAGACATACTATAGTTCATGTACTAAATTATACCGATGACAACCCAGACATACTATAGTTCATGTACTAAATTATACCAATGACAACTCAGACATACTATAGATCACGTACTAAATTATACCAATGACAACCCAGACATACTATAGTTCATGTACTAAATTATACCAATGACAACTCAGACATACTATAGATCACGTACTAAATTATACCAATGACAACCCAGACATACTACAATTCATGTATTAAATTATACCAATGACAACCCAGACATACTACAGTTCATGTACCATATTCTCCAATGTTTTTGTTCAAGCAGATATTTTATGACTAGGTTTTTGTCCAAAGCAAGCACACTTACTATAAGAAAGAACATTCCAGCAGTTTTAAATAGTCTTTCTCACACTAACTCTTTACCATTGATATCTAAAACAACGAAACTTGAACAGTTAACATACTACACTGAATCGTTCAATATGACATACAAGTTCATAGAGTTGTGAGCTGAACAGAAACTCACTATGACAATCAATAAATAACTATGTACAATACATAACTTGGAGCCTTTCAAAGTTTCTTTCAATATAGTTAACCTGTTTATTTCATGTAATTCTTAATCCTAAAAAACAGGAGTACTTACAGAATAAAAAAAATCAGTTTATACTATTCACAAAAAAACAATGTATAGCATTTTCCTTCAGAAACATCCACACACTAACTCAATTTTATAGGTGTAAATAAACAAAACAATTCCATACTTCACATTCCTTTCCTCCAACTACCAGTGTTTGACCATCTTCCAAACTTTCTAATTCCTTAACTTTGTAACCAGTTCCTCGTCCAATCCTTTGCAAACGAGAAAAACAATTAAATAACACAATCCTCAAGAGTCCAATTAAAAGTAGAGATAGAAAGACAAGTTAAAAGCTGAAACAGAAAACAACAACATCCCATGTAATGCCAACATTTTGTCAATAACAGTAACTGGAAGTAATACAACACTGAATGAATCTTGATTAACGTAGTATCTTTATCATTTTTATAAAAGCATTTCCTTACTGCCTGATTAAGATAATGACAGGAAGGTGACATTCTTACAATATATATTATCACTACCCTTTCTATTCGTCATATAATCATATAAATGGTAGTATATAATCAGCTGAATCATATATATAACAAATTGAATTATTGTGGCTTTCTTATAATGCATATTTTCTCCACCATTACTCTTTGTTATAAATTATATAAATGGTTTTTGTGTTTATCTATAATAGTTCTGTATATCTGACACAAGGAATATTTGTTTTAAAAATGAGGCTTTACCGTATGGCTCATATAAAGACTTATGAAAATATCTAGAGATCATTCTTCTGAATATCATATAATTTATGTGATTTATGATACAAATATTAATATATTTTAAGTGTCGACTTAGTACAATTTCAGGGACCCTGCGTTTAATTTATAAATTGTAGAAGAGAGTAGGTTAAAGGAAAGATTAGAATAAATAAAGCCAAACAAGACCATGACATTTTCATTATGTTATGCAGTTTGTATATCTGTGGGTTCTTTCTTTGTAGCTTTATTAAAACCCTGATTGTGGACTCCAATGTGTGATTTGTTTACTTCAGAATGTTTACAGTTTGATGTAGCTTCAATCATCAATAATCAAGATCAAAACTTTTGTTTCTTTGTCATTCTGAGAGTTATGAGATCTTCCTTTTAACCGTGTAAGTCAATAACTTCTCTCTAAAGACACTTGTTTTAGGAAGAAATACAAAACAAATCAAGAAAAATTTAAGTCTATACAGTTTTCATACAGAAAGACTTTTTACAAACGAAAAATACTTATATAAAAATTTGTTGGTAAAAAGAAACAAACCATTGAACATAAAACTTAGTGCCCATAAAATCTCTTGTTGCGTAAACATTATTTTTGACATATACACAAGCACTGATTTTGAAATATACTACACAGTTAGAAAATGTTAACTCTAAAACTAACTAAGATCTTAAAAGATTGAAATAAAATAAATCAATAATATACATAAAGGATGAAAACTTGTTATTTCAACTTTTTTTAAGTGATATGTAATTCATTAACACTTGTCATTTCTAACAAGTGTTAATTTTCAGTTGATTGTGAAATGGGTGGCAACTACCTGTTAGAGAAACACCTGTAGAAATATGTTGGTGACCGTACAATATACTCATGCAGCTCGAGCGTAGAGTACGAAGTTTCAAATGTCATCCACCTTTCGTCTTCAGGTCCACTTTTATGGGAGGTTTGATTCTCTATCTGTCTTTTAATACTGACTTCATTATAATGCATATCGTTAACTTTTATGAATAAGTCATGAAGACAAATTGCATAGCTGTCAGTTAATTTTATCTTTAAACAAATGGTCTTGGCATTTCCCATACTTATCCATGAGATGACGTCAGCAAAAGCTACTGGTAAATCTCTTGGGTTCAGATCAATTTCCGTAATAATCATAAAGTTGATAATCCAACCATACGGTAATTTATCATCGACTGAATGATTATTTTTAGAGTAACTATAATACTGGTTTGTGATGTAAAATGCTGTAAAAAAAAACCGTTAGTAGTTCATTTATTTCATGTTCTTACAATCAGTATCAAATTCTGGTAGACACGGTTATCTAAATAAACGTTACTTACTCTTTTCCTTCAAGGTTTTTCAGCACAGCGGTTCTTCTTCTCACGATTAAGATTGCTGTTCAAATAGATTAGAGGTGTGTAATAAGTACTACACTGAAATCAATCCAGTTTCACACTTAAAATATTAGAATAATGAAACAATACTTCCACTTCATGAACAAAACATGAGCCAACAGTGCGATCGTTAGTTCTCCACAAATCTTAGTAACCTAGTATTTGGAATAAATATTCCTCTTATGTTATAAACAAACAATATAGCATATATAAGTATGAGGAAAATGATATATATATATTTTCTAAGACAGTTGTAAATTTTTTTATAGTTTTCATTTTTTACAGCCTCCTGCAAACAGTACAGCAACTCTTAACGTAGCAGTTATCAGACAGGCATGTTTTTTTAATTGGCTAATAAAATTATTTTTCACTTTTTATATGTAATTTCATGTATCAACTACTGTTAACATGTTACCAGATCATGCACATAACTATCTGAAGCCAAAGCAAATAGTTTTTTAAAAAACATCATGAAGAATAAGTACACTTTTATAGATGGCACAGAAAGTTGCCGATTAACTCACAGTGTGAGAATGCTACTTGTGTCACTTAAAGACACACTCTTTATGATCAGTGAGCAAAAAGTATTCAAGATGTCAAAAAGAGTATTATTGATCTAAGAGAAAAGTATCAGCATTATTGTGTAATATTATAAGGCACCAAAAAAGACTGTGAGGCTTCAATATTCATTCCCTAACACAGACAAACATTAGTTATCTTATGATCACTTCTGATAGAAAAAACCAAAACCTTTTAATGTCTTTTAATGGTAAAAATAATAACTTCAACAACAAAGTAAAAAAAAATAAATCAAAAATCAATTTAAAACCTTCAGCAAATCTTATCATCACCTCTTGCATGGTCAAAATAGTACACGTCTTTGATGTCACCAGTCAATATGAATAGTAAACAATTATTTGACTGGTGACATCGGTGACATCAAAACACGTTTACTATTCATGTTGACTGGTGACATCAAAAACATTTACTATTCATGTTGACTGGTGACATCAAAAACATTCACTATTCATGTTGACTGGTGACATCAAAAACATTCACTATTCATGAGTCAACATGAATAGTAAACTTTTTTGATGTCACTAGTCAACATGACGATTTCTAGGGTGCAGATCATAAACGAAACTTGCTCAATTGTGCTCAGAAACACATTCTCACTTGAGTTTAAGCAAGTTGTCTGTTAAGTGTTGTTTTCACAGAGATTGAGCATTAGCTGGTCAGTAACTTATGTGCCCAGTATAAAACAATATTACACAAATCTCTGGAAAAAATCTAACTTAATGGCTGATTAAATGTTTACCAAGTATGATTGACATGATCCATGATTTTGCTAAAATTACAGAAATATTTGTTAGCGTAACACTTAACATAGTTTTAATACTGAAAGGAACTTATGTAACTATAAAAATACTCAAACGAACAACAACGTTTGGTACACAATTAAAATCTTTATTCTAAAACCGACCAACAGTCTTAAAAGGCACTCTACGTGTTTCAACGTTGATTCACGTCATCCTCACACTTAAACTACTGATACATTGGTCACACTAGAAGAAATTTAAAATAAATGAACATTAGAGAAATATTAAAAACAATAGTGAAAACTCTGAACATGCAAATGTCATCCAGTGGGAAAAAAAATGTATATTTTAGTTCAACTGAATAATATGACAGCTAGAAATATTAGAGAAACTATAGAAATAATGAAAAACAGTAAAAGTTATTATATTTTAAATAAGGATTAAGGGTTGGAAAATCAGAAACTATGTAGATGGCGTAAACTAAGTAGTCACATGACCATGGCTTCTTGTATTTATAATGGTTACATTTGTTTTACACACTCCTAAGGACGATATGAATTGACAATGAAACATGTAGAGTGCCTTTTAAGCCTGTTTATCAGTTTTAGAATAAAACCGAACAATGCTGAATGTTTTAATTATCCACTTTCTACATTGTAACCTTAAAATTTGTAAAAAATACGCTCACCATCTCCTTCCCACTTCTTGTGCTAGAAGAAAACAAAAAGTAAGAAATGAACAAAAAAATTATATATTTTTTCCTTGTCTTTATTACTGACATATATAAAAAGTACAAAATAAGGTTCAAAAAATTTCATGGTTCTTATTATAAGTTTAAATTTTGTTGGATATGTTAAAGGCATTTAAAAAAATTATCTTTTTAAGTTATAAAATGTTATAAACTCATATAATTACTAAAATACCCCTTACATGCAATTCCATTTAAGATAAACATATATATTTATAACATACAAGACCAATTTGTGTGATTTTGACATTTCTTAAATAGCTTAACTCTGGGGCAGCATGAATTTAATACAGAGCATCTCAAAAAAGCTGGATATAAAGCAATTAAAAAACAAAGTGGTCAAAACATGAATTCTTTTATCAAATAATAAACAAAAGTACTTTACCTATTCATCTATTTTAGATACCTACTTTTGTCACATTTGAAAAATAAAGCAATTCTAAGATGGGTAATGACCTATTCCAGGATTATCTAGTGAATGTATTTCTAACAAATCAAAACCTCAAGTTGTATATATATATAGTATTTTTACCATTTGTAATTAAAACTATTCAATTATTCAATACATTAATTAAAAAAAACTCATTACTGAAGGTAAAGATATACAGTCATCTCAAAAAATATCCGTAACTCAATACTATATATATAATTTACTGTTTTGTTTACAGGTCTGTTTCTTAATTAAAAGAAGGCTTCATTGTTATGGTTCTTTAAAAACTAGGGGGGCACTCAGTAGAGCTCACACCTCCACCATTGAGCATGTTTGGCTCTCAAAAAATACGAAAATGTGTCTGTATGTCTGTCTTCATCTATGGACACATACCATTTTTTGCAGAACAATGAGGGATACTATTTTACATATGTCCACCAAGTTTCATCAAAATCCAATCATTTTTGACTGAGTTATAGAGCAAAAATAGTGAGAAAAATATGGATTTTTGTGACCTTGATCCTCCAAAAACTAATAACTTCTCAGTTGAGTCATAGTCCAAGTTTTGTCCAAATCTATTCAGCCGTTTTGGGGAAAATTTGCCGACAACCACGACAGGGGTAAAAACATAAATTCATCTGATTCAGATTATTATAGATATATATATATAACAAATCTACGGTTTTATAATACAAAATACTGCTACTTTTTTACCACGTGCTGATAAAATTCACGAGTTTATTGGTTTCTAAACTGCAATAAAATTACACTTTCATACCAGATATATATATATACTATTTCTTACTTGTGGCACAAGGAATTATTTAGATGTTTGTTTTACTATAATAACAAAAATGACTTATAAACTTTAATACAGTTAAAATATTTCTTTTACTAAGTATTGACTATATCCAGAGGCTGTTAAAATATCTTAATTATACATTATAGTTATGATGTTTTATGCTTACCTTTTTCTTGGAGAGTTTGCACCACATAACACTGTAGTAACTTGACTCATTTGTTCCTTGATTTTCTGTCGGAAGGTCAGATTTATCAAGTTTTGACACAGATGTTCCACCTTCAGGTCTTACTTGACCTCGTTCATCTTTGTTAGATGATGAATTTAACGTATCCAATGCCTCGGTTAAATTAGAACGAACGGAAAGACTTTCAGTCACTTTTGAAGGCTGTAAGCTCTGTGAAAAACAGTTGTTTTGAGACCTTGATTCACCGGTTATAACCGTGTCTGTAGCTGTTGGCTTTTTAAGTAACTTGAGTACATCAGCTGTGCTTCTAAGTTCTTCCTTTCCATGATCACTCTTTGGGACAATATTCTGTCGATTAAAACAAAGTATGTTAAGTACAAGAAATTCTATAATGCATATTGTACTCAAGTACTCTGATACGATTCCGATTAATTTCTTTGTTGTTAAAATGGACAAGACAACAAATTGTAATCTTATGAATAGAAATTAAATTTTGATAATTTTGACTATATTCTTCCAGTACTATGTGGTGTAACTGTATTGTCACTGAAGTGGACATTACCCATATTTCTAGAGAGAATGTATCTATCACAGTCAAGAAAATTCATAAAGAATTGGACATGAACACAAAAACACACATACTTAACCAGGTAATAAAAGGACCTACCCATCCATCCACCCATTGTTCTATAGAACACATATTGGTTAGATACATGTGTGTTCTATAGATCTATGGGTGGATGGATAGGTAGATCTTGTTATTACTGGTTAGATACGGTAATAAAAGGACCTACCCATCCATCCACCCATAGAATACATGTGTGTTCTATAGACTAACCAGGTAATAAAAGGACCTACCCATCCATCCACCCATAG